AAATATTATTTACATGCGGATATCGGATTTCGCTATAGCAGGAGTTGTTATCGGTAATTGTCGATATGTAGATAGGACTGATGTACAGTTAACTACTTCCGATGTATTCCAAATCAAATTAGACAGCATTTAAAACTTTGTAAATAGTTTGACTCATCCCTGGCTGTCAAGGCCGATCATTAAACACGCTCTGATTTTGGCCCACACAAGAGATTTATAAAGCGGAAAAAAACTTTTTCGATAGAAGAAAACCGTAGCAGGTTAGTCTGATTTGAAATTTTAAAGAAATCTGCAGGGCATTTGAAGTTCCCACCTTACCCTAAGAAATTTGATAAATCACTTCCAAAAACCGCGTGCAGTCGCTATGCATCAATGAACACGAAAACACGAAAAATCTAGCGCCACTCTTCGAAATATAATGAATTTAAGCTTGTAACATGGAAGATTGTTTTATAAATACTGGTAAGACTGGTAAATGAAGAGAAGAATTTCATTTAGCCATTTTCCTTGTTATTATAGAAAAAAAGCGGCAAAGTGATTATACATAAAACTGACCCGTGATTCACGCCGTTTTAGCGTCTTTTTCGTCAAAATATATTGCCTGAAAGGTCGAAAATTTTTGACGACCAAAATACTTGTGCTGGCGACCAAACCTGAAAACTTAGGGGCCAGCTGGCCCTAAGGTTTTTTCTTGAAATTCGAGCCCTATAGTCCAGCGAGGAGCTTCAATTTCTTGCTCAGAAATAATATTTACCCAATCAAGTCAACGACAGTTCTGCCGGGCAAAAATATTTTTAGAAATGAAAAGTATAACTGATAGCTACCTCTTTTCGTTCCTTGCGATGCGCCATTCGCTTGCGATACGTGCCTTTACAAGAGCCTTCCGTTGAAAAATTGTCGGAAAGCATTTTTCTTCAATGACATCCTTCTTGTGTTTCCACCCACAAGCTCAAATCGGTATTGAGTTTTGAAACAGTTGTCTATGAAACGCTCGTTGCACACGTACACATTTTAGAGTTTTTTGGCATGAATCTCTCATCCCGACGTAGCTGTTCGAACCACTTCTTTGGCAATTTTTTGTTCTTTGCAGGCAAGTTAAGGAAAGTCGCTCCTCTTTCCCTATCCTTTTTGGCTCGGCTTTTACAGCCCGGGCCGAATTTTTTAGCTCACAACTGAATTTAGAACAGAAAAGAAGAGCTTTAGCCTTTGAGCTTCGCGCCTATTCGAACGGAACGACGTCACGGATATGCGGCCTGGCCTTCAAGATCCTTTCAAAATGGCGGCTCCCTGTGTCGAACTTTTCACTTCTTTTTCATTGGGATCGCATCCACTTCAGAAGCTAAAACAACGGTGAGTAACTCAACTCAATGTGAACATTTTATTGGTGATGAAAAATAATACACAGTTTTTGGAGTGACCCTCTCCTTTAATTGTAAGAGCGCTAATTGGCATTACTGGTTTTTATCCTACCTACTAGGAAGCTATGCGCGTCATGACTGGTCAAAAACCTATTGTTTATTACTCAGAAAACTTATAGAAAGCTTTAAGAGATGCAGAGATACTCTTAAACGATACATCCTCTCGCTTGCAATCAACGCGTTACATGCCTACTTAGGTAGTCCGAATAATTACATCTCTGTTATAAGCAATTAACATGGTTGGTTGGTTGATTGGTTGGTTGGTTTTATCACGTCACTCAGCACCTGGATGTGCCATTGCAGACTGAAGCTTTACCTTAAGGAGAGAAAAAATAATTTTGATTAATTGTGTTTCTTATTTTGGAAGGAAACCATAACTATCGTACCAAGAGTTTTAGTTCTCCTTGTCCAGCGGTCGGAAAATGAGCTACTCTGGAACTTTCTGATCCAGAAGTCAGAAAACATCAGACTTCTGCTTGAATTACGCATGTTTCTAGCCACCATTGCCCCTTCCTGTGTGAGTTATGATCGCATCCCTCGTATTTGAAAACTTCGAAAATGCTATCTTTGGATTATCTCCAAGTTTTACCCCTCCATACCTCTTAAAAATTAATCAGGCTGTCCCACAGGTAATTATTATAGTTTGGAAAACAGTGATGAAGAAGAAGAACCGAATACTGCATTTTCACTACTTTGTGAAAAAGAAAGGGACAATATTATAAGTGAATTAATTAGGTAAATACTTTTGCGCGGATCGAATCACTCTCTTTGTTCAGTTTTGGTTTAAGTTCACGAATAAAAAGCATCTCAAAAATCAAACAGTCTAGTTTACTCTGACATTTTTTCAAAATTTGTCTCTTTTGCCTTAGCATTTCTTTTATCATTCTCGCCGCAATTTTCTCGTATTGCTTCTATGTAAATATTTTAGAGTTTTAGTCAGTATCTCATTAGCATTCTTACAATTGATTATATAAGCGAATGTTAAAAAACATTTTCTCCTTCAACTTGAAAATGACCGTTGAACGGTCGAAACGTCGTTACTTTTTAACGTATACAAATCTTTTCACGTTAAAAACCTTTTCCGAATTCTCAATTACCTTTTGTTTCCTTCTTTTTTCCCACAAGATTTCAGCTATCAGCGTCAGAAACGCAAGAAGTAGACCAGCTCCCAACACCACATAAACGCCGAGCAAGCTTTTCAGATCAATGCGCTTATTGGACAATTCTAGCCAATAAAGAAGATAAAAGTCCTGTTTCAGATACGACGAAAACATGACCAATAAAATGACGAGCTTCCAGTTAGCTTGTTAGGTCAGTTGGTGGAACACTACACCAATATCGTAGAGGTTATGAGTTCGACTCCCGTTAAAGCCTGAATTTTTCAGGCTATCTTTTCGCTGCCGTTAAAGTAGTTTTCACAACTGCAATGATCTCTCATCTGCAGTGTTTTACCGACAGTTCAATGTCTGAGTTATCTCTCATCCTTATTCTTATCCTTGCCAAGTGGCGCATAGGGCCTCCTAGAAGGGTGCTATAACCAATAGAGGCTCTAACAGACAGGTGTTCAATCTATCACCCAGCCTACACAAAATCCTGAGATGTCTGTGAGGGCAGACCGCAACACCGAGGACTACGTTCCCCACTCTTTTCGATCAGTGTGTGGGTTCTTTTTACGTCCCCCTTAAATTTAACGTGTGGAGATGAAGGAGACAAGGCCAACGGCTTAACGTCACTGCCCAAAGTCGTGACCATCTGAACTGAAGCAGATGTTGAGCACACAGCCAGCATGATCTCACCAGTTATTTCAAGACCCTGGTTATTGGTCTGGTCTGGGGTTTGAACCCACAACCTTCCGCTCAGCAGTCTGGAGCTCCACCAACTGAGCCAACCGGGCGGCGGTATCTATGAGTTATGTTGCTTTATAATTACAGACGCTACAACCACACTAAAAAAGATCTCACTTACTTGTATCTGGTTCCTTAGGACACGCATGTGCAGTTGTCCACCACTTACGTTTCAGTTTGGCAAGGAAGAAACTCTCGTGTAGACGTAAAATGGCCAGTGTGAACGCGTTAGTGTGTGGGTCGTTCGCTTGTAAAGCTAGAGCAAGTCCTTTAATGGTGGTCAAACCTGCAACTACGTAACAGGAAATCTTTTCAGAAAGGTGCATGATCGAACGTCGGACTGTCATCAACAAGAGAGGAGATAAACTTCTAAACGACAATCCTGGCCAATTTGTTTGGAGACAGTAGCTTCATTAGACTGTGCTGCACATGGGTTCCCTTATCCCCCATATAAAATATAGATAAACAACAAACAATCAATGTGTATGACGTCTGCAAGAGATAATGCCCTACACTGAATAAGGAGTGGACAGAATTTCATTTTGGTCCACAAGCGACTCAGCGCAAACCGTTATCGAGGAGTCGAAAAGCCTCAACGAAAGTAAAAAGCTCACATTGTTTTCAAGCTCAATTGGCCACTCAATTGTTGCAAAACATACCCTTAACTTCGAGACGCTCGAAATCTATTTGTGTTTCCTTATGTACACTTACTTATTGTGAGATCGCAAGGTTGTTGGCCTGCAGCGTACTGTAGAACTAGCCCTTCATTCATAAACGCAAAGTCCTCCTCTTCGCGGACCTTTTGAATGGCCAACGATGTAGTTGAGGCTATACCGTCCGCTTTAATTCTGTGCCAAACACGTCTGTGCGTCTCTGAATCGCTTTTCTTTAATGCCTCGTAGGTACTTGACGAGTTCAGTACCATAAGCTGATACGAGGACTCTGCCAAGTCTTCAAGATTGCTGATCGGTTGGTGGGCATTCTTAACGGTGAAGAAAGCGGCCAGGTTGGCGGTATACGTCGAAATCCATATGAGGATGCAGAACCAATAGCACCCTGTCAGAATTCGACCTAAAGTAAAAAATAAATTGTTATGCAATCTGCAGTGATAGAAAGGTTAAGTCGGTAATGATTTGAACTGTCAAGGAGAATTATGGCAAAGGCTTAACGTCTGATTTTTCTGTTGATGATGGCGATGTCGATCATGATCATGATTGTGATTGATCATGAGGGTGGCATTGGTAATGATGGTGATGGTGATGGCGATGGTGGTGGTGATCGTGGTGGTCGCGACGGTGATGGTGATGGCGATGATGATGATAATAATTGATGATGGTGACTGTGACGAGGACGCTGACGGTGAAAGTGATGGTGATGGTGGTAATGATAGCAGAATTTAGGTATCACCGTCGTCATCATCATCATGAACAACAATAACAACAAAAATATTATTTCCGTTTACTAGTTATTAATTTTCCTGAACCTGACAAGTTCCTTGGCTGGTTTTCTGCCCCTTGTTGCAGCATACAAGCCAATGAGAACCACACACTGTTGAAAAAGCTGAATTCCCGTGACGTTCCTAGATCATTGTCGTCTTTGTATCCAAAAGGACTGAAGTAGTTTAATATAAACACTGTGACAGATACAACCAACAATGTAACGAGAATGGCAAACCAAACGTCTGAGTGAAACGGATTCATAAACTGCAGCAAATCAACTGTTTCTCCGGAGGATGACTTCTTGAGTAGCACGCCCTCTGTGGTGAATATGTAAGGAGTACTGAAGTCCACAACTTTTTCCCGACGCTCTGTTATTGTGAGATCCCCAACTGCGAGGTCTGCCCGCTGGGAAATACGGAGAAATTGACTAAATTGGGAGATGGTGCTCCATTTGCTATGGGCAATACAGTATAAACTATATCCATAAAATACAGCGTAGAAAGCGTACGAGAAATGCACACGTTATAATCAAATTTTCAGCCGTGCATCTATAAAGAGTCTTCAAAAAACTGTGGAGCGAACAAGTTCAAATCAGTGTGAAGGGAGAACCTGAACACAATTTTCAGCTTCATAAACTTGGTTTGCCGACATAATCTTAACCGAAAATCTAATGGGCACGTACGTTATCATTGTCATCATTCCTTCCGCACCAAGTGGTGGATAGGACCTCCAAAGCGGTTTCCGTGACCAGCAGAGGCTCTTGGGGACGGGTGGTCAGCTCATAGCCCTGTCTCCACCCAACCCCGAGATTTGAATGAGGTCAGACCACAACACCGGGAACTACGTTCCTCACTCTTTTCGATCAGTATGTGGATTCTTCTATGTCCCCTTCCAGTTTCACGTGTGGAGTTGAAGGAGACAAGGCCAACGGCTTAAAGTCACTGCCCAATGACGCGATCATCTGAACTAAAGTAGATGTTGAGCACACTGCCAGCACGATATTAACAATTATTATTATACCAATTAGAGTGCATGTACCTAAATAGATCTTTACTGACCTCGTATATCAATTCGCCAATCAGTCCATCCCATAATCCATTCTCCAATTCAGCTCCGTATAACCCGTCCGGAGAAGTGTGGATCTCATATGTAAAATGGAGATTTTCCGCCAGTTTATTCAGCAGGTCTATGCAGTATCCTTCGTATGAAATGCTTCCATCTTTGTGCTTTACCGCCATCACAAACGGTGCTTGCTAGTTTAATGTTAATAAAAAAAGAAGAAAGAATGATGTTTTACTGAAACAGAAACGCAGTTTTCCCTACAGTTAGTTGTACTTCCAAGAGAGATTAAGCAACAAATACGGAGATAGACACGACATCATCACAAAACAATAGGTGCAATGAGTAAAACAAAGCCCTTGAGTGTGCATTATACATTTGCATTTTGGCACATTTCCCTGTCGACCTTTTCAAAACAACAACGTGGAATCACCAGTGAGAGTTTAGCATCGTAGAAATCGTGAACGTATAGGGGTGAATTTTTCTTTCTTAACTTAAGGTGGCCGAACACAGTTTTCTAGTGCCTATGCCTAATTCACCATCACTTTTAAACTATTTATGCTTTGGTGCCCGTTTTTTGCAAGAAACAAGTTTAACCACAAGTTTATTCTCGTATTTTGGCTAAGGTGTGTGCTGTTGCCATGGCAACATGGCTGGTTAAAAACAAGGCTTACGAAATGGTTTTTGTTTATTTAAAAAAATCCAAGCGTTAGATTTTTTTCATCATTTGCCCACTACGAATTGACATTAAATCCCTTCTGTCAACAATTTTGACATGGACGATTATCGTAATTTTTTGCCGTAAATCGTTTTCCCTACATCATCATCATCATCATCATCATCATAATAGTAACTTTATTTATCCTGGTAAAAAGCCGGTCAGTCGATCAAGATATAGATTGACTGGTATTAATCGGTGACCAGTATAAAAAGCATCAAAAAAGTCAATAAAGAATTACAGGCATAGAATTTACAATTACAAATCTAAAAAGTATAAATTATATACAAAAATTTCCAAAAGGTCTAGATAGCAGCAGACATGTAAAGATTTTAAGGAAAACGACCAATTTTTTAAGTTTGCAAGACATGTTTCGACAGAGCTTCTGTC